TCTGTGTCGTCTCCAATTGGCCACTCGATCCACTATCACTTTCCACTCTGCTCCTTGCCTGGGGGGGACTGACCAATGAGGTCTGCATCCCCCTGGGTTCAGCCCGTGAGCACTGCCCCCCAGGAGACTGGAGGGTGAGAGAGGGGTGAGGGTCCCCTGGCTGGCTTGTGTCCCTCTCCTCGCCCTTCAGGCCTGACGATGGTAAGGACTCCCCTGTCACTGCCCCCAGCTTCTGCACTCCCCCCGTGGCTTCCCTGCACCCTGCCTGCACCTTTGTAAATAACCCCTGTATCACGTGTGCACAATGGAATATTACTCAGCCATAAAAAGAATGAAATCTTGCCATTTGTGACAACATGGACGAACCTAGAGGGAATGGTGCTAAGTAAAATAACTCAGAGACTGAGAAAGACACATACGATATGATTTCACTTACATGTGGAATCTAAAAAAACAAAATAAATGAACAAGCAAAACAGACACAGACTCAGGGATGCAGAGAACCTTTCGAGGGCTGCCAGACGGGAGAGGGGCGCTGCACGAGAAAGGAGCAGGGATCGAGAAGTGCGGACTGCCGGTTACGAGAACAGCTGGGGACGCAGAGAACAGCAGAGGGAGTGCAGTCCGTGACACTGGTCACGACGTATGGTGTCAGGTGGGTGCCGGGCTTAACGGGGGATCACTTCCTAAGTTTTCTAAGTGCGGTGACTGTGCTGTGCCCCTGAAACAATGTAATAGTGTATGCCAACTTTAATAAAAATTATTAAAAATAAATAAATAACCCCTCTATTAAACTCATCTCAGATTCCTGATTTCGGTGGGCTGCCTGCTGGTTCCTGCTGGCCTCAGTGGCCATGGCTGAGGCACCGGGCACTGCAGAGCTGGCTCTCCGCCCACAGACGGCCGACTCCTGGAGGGAGGGGCCGAGTCTGAGCCTGTCTGCACGGCCATGAAGACGGGGCTCGGAGAAGACACTGGGAAACGTCCTTGACTCCAACTGCACCAAAGTACCCATACTGACACACACGTGAGAATGAATGGATGGGATTGCATCAGATTCACCTGATCCTTCACGGGCTCGCTCACTGGTTCGTCCACACTCCTGCCAGCCTCGCGTGCCGGGCTCTGGCAGGGTGGACGGTGGAAAACTGCCTTCACAGGTCTGGCACCGTAGTGAGAGGGTCAGGCGTGAGGGAGCAAAAGCAGAAACACCGGTCACACCATTTCAGGTGGTGATACGTCCTATGGTGAAAATAAAGCAAGCTGAAGGGGAAGCAAAGTGACAGGTGTGTGGAGTGACGATGTGTGCTCAGGGCGCCTGCGGTCGGAGAAGGGTGTGAAGGAGCCGGGTCAGGCAATGCTCTGGGGCGAGGACGTTCCACACGGAGGGACCAGGAGATGGAGTGGCCGGGTGCGAACGACCCTGGTCTGCAGCAGAACGCAGGGGAGCAGGGAGGCCGGGCACACTGAGAGCGGGAGGCTCACAGGAGATGCGGTGGGGACCTGCTTTCTCGTCAGGCCCCTTCCAGCTCCGGGACTTGAGGACCCCTCGGGGAAGCCCTTGCCAGGCCCGGCCTGCAAGCCAGCCACTCCTGAATTGCCCAGGTGAGGGCCCCGTGTTCAGGGCCCCAAGTGGGGTCTCTCCCCGTGTTCTCTCAGCCCTCACCACAACCATGTGAGGAGGGTCTTTCTACCCCCATTCCACACACAAAGAAACTGAGGCTCAGAGGATTGAGCAACCTGCCCAAGCTCACGCAGAGTCAGGGGAAGAACTGGAAACGCACCCAGGTCTGCCGGACCTGCAGTCCAGAAGGTGTTTTCCCAGGGTGGGCACATCCACTTGTCTAGGACTTCTTCATCAGTAGCACTGGCCCCGCAGGGAGGGACAGGCTGGAAGGAGAACCCCAAGCTCCCAGCTGGGGGTTGGCACGTCCCAAGCCCACACAGCCCACGGGGTTCCCGCCTGGCTGCTTGCACAGCTCCCGCTGGCGGAACAGGTAGGCGGGAAGGCGGTGCCAAGCTCGCCAGGCCCTGACTCTCTCCCAGGGCCAAGGCATGCTGGCTGACGGCTATTATTTCAGGCCTTTCATTTCTAACAGACACTGCGCTGTCACAGAGACTGTTATTTCCTGTGGCGCGTGCAGGGTGATGGACATGCCGGCTGCCCGGAGGGCAGGGAGTGGCAGGACCTGGGCACATTCTTGGAGATAAAACCACCGGCTCTCTCCCTCTCAGTCACTCCACTTTGCTCCCACCCAGACGCTGCCGCGATGTTTGAGAGCATCCCCCGGGGTCCCAGGAGGACCCAGCACTCGGCAGGGCGCCCCAGCTTGGGGAAAACCGACTCCTTTCAGACGAGCCTCCACGTTTCATAGCCTTGTAATCTTGGCCACGGCTCTTGCCCTCCCCAAAGCTCAGCTTTCTCATCTGTGAAATGGGGACCATTTATGTCGGCCTCACGAGGTGGCTTAAGTGAGTGAGATGACCCATCCGAAACACCTGCCACATAGTGGGTGCTGAGGAGGTGGGGGTTATGACAGTGACCATGCTGCGGGGCGGGGGAGGGGGCAACAGTGATGCTTCTCACATGTGGAAAACAGGGAAAATGAGGCCAGAGAAGGGAACGGGCTCTCCCAAGGCCACACAGCGAGTCAGTGGCAAAGCTGGGCGGAGAATTTGGGTCTCTAGGCCAGAGCTTTTGCCAGTCAGTGGTAACAACTGCATTTTGCCGCTTCCTCCATGTCCTGGGCACCGTCACCCATTATCTCACCTAATCCTTGCAATGAACTGGTGGGCAGGCCCACGGTGACACAGCTAGCAAGCATGGGGTCCTGGCGGCTGGCTACACCCTGGTGGCCTGGCTGCAGAGCCCGAGCTCTGGCCTCTCTGCACCGGCTCTTGAAGACCACTGCTGAGAGCACTCGTGGAGGCCCCCAGCTTTCCCACGTGTGCATGTCCACAGACATAGTCACACTCAGCTTTGAGAATTAGGCTTCGCACAGGCTGGGCCACGGTCTCCTCCACTGCGATGAGCAGACAAGGATAAGGCCAGCTTGGGCTCACCTGTCTCAGGTCCCACCAGCTGTACCCCTAGGCCCACCCATGGGTTCTGGACACAGAACCTGGGGCCACTCGCAGAGAGTATCTGGTGTGTGTCCAATTCTTTCTGACAGGGAAACAGAGGCCCAGGTGGTTTGGGTCAGACCGCATGGGATTCGCCACGCAGGCTGGCACTGGTAGCTGGAGGCACCTGAGAGTGAGAAGGTGGGTGGGAGAGAGAGAGGAAGGGGCTGTGTTCCAAGTACCCAGATCGCAGGCACGACCCTCCCTGCGGCCACATCCATTACCCCGGCAGACCCCCCCCCCCCGCCCCGACACAGCTTATCATGGTGCTGCGTCCTCACTGCAAGCTCTGATCTACGTCCCGTTTTGCAAGTGGAGATATCACGGTTCACAGAATCAAAGTGACTTGCCCAGGCTCACAAAATTAATAAGAACTTGGACTTGAACACAGCTCTTCTAATGCCCAGGCAACTCTTCCCCCTTACTTCACTCCTTACACTGCTGGCTCTCTTTCTGCACTTCTGGACTCTGCAGGTTACCCAGACACCTGCCCTCCCGTCCCTGACTTTGCTGCACCCAAACACAGGCACCCTCCCTGAAGGCAGGGATTTGCCCAATAGGCTGACTGTGGTGCACCTGCAGCCTGTCACGACAGCAGCTGCACAGCCGGAAACCAGTGGATGCTTGTTGGGTTGTTGAAGGAATTGTGTGATTAGGCCACAGCTTTTAAAACTGATACCAGTGGTCAGCACGGTCGGGTTGGAGATTTCTGCTATTGGGAAGGATTTAATTGAATGATTTATTATGCAATAGAAAAGTGAGCAAGGGAAAGTGGTGCATTACAAATGCATTGTTTGTTTCTTTTTCATTAACAAGATTGCTCCACTTCTGGGTATGTGGAGCTCTGGGGAGGCATGAGCCAGTCCACACAAAGATGCCCGAGGCCTTCCCACAGGTCAGCATGCAGAACCCAGCCCTGCTCCCTGGCGGGGAACTTAGAGAAATGCGGGCGGCCTGGGGTAGCTCTGAGTAGACTGGAGTAGCTCTGAGTGAAGTCCAACGGCAGGAGAAGGTCCAGAGGGCTCCAAGAGAACTCATGTGGAGAGGGAGGGCAGGCTGGCAGCCTAAGGTCAACATCAGGGTGAGGAGGACAGAGACACGTGGGACCTCTCTCAGCTTTTCAGTCAAGGATCACAAGGTATTTCAGGATAGACACCAACGCGACGGAGACACGGGTCCTCAGCCTCCAGCCTCACTGCTGAGCACGGTGTGGGCCTGCCTGTGGCTTATACAGGGATCTGCCCCCGCAGGGTATCACCGCCTCCACGCACACAGCCAGTCTTCAGCAGCGACACCATGTGGCAGGGCCCGAAACGACAGTGCTCAGTGGGGTTTCTGCTCGCTTCCTCTGTTCTGGAGTCTGAAGGCAAGACTGGGCTGCTTTAGATGAAGTCCTCAGGGTTCTCGGGACATTCGGGGAGAATGAAGGCTCCCGATGCATCAGGAACATCCTGCTGACGAAGGCTTGGGATTCTCGACGCTTCGGAAAAGTAAGAGATGCCCTTACTTGCACCCTGAGTTGGTGACACTCCCACAAGTTACAGAAGGAGTCAGCTTTATCCACTCTGTCTCCAGTAAGAGTAACACACACAGTTCTTTTCTGTCTTTGAAACTAATGACAACAGCTGCTTACACAGCCATGTCACACCATAGTTTACAGAGCTCTCACCCATCCAAGCCCTTCTCTGAGCCTCAGGTCAGCCCTGGGAGATAAGCATGGTGGATGGAGTAACGGTCCTGAGGAGACTGAGGCTCAGAGAGGGACAGTGATTTGCCCCGGGTCACCAACACATCAGCGAGGCCTGGTTCCGCCCCTTTTGTAGGGTTCCCCAGCCGACTCCCAGGGATGCCGGTGGCTGGGGCCCTGCCCGGCCTGCTCACAGCAGCATCAGGACCACGATGGCAATGACCATGAGGACTCCAGCCAGGATGCAAAGGCCCAGGAAGACAATGTCACTGGTGTCCTGGGCCACCATGGCCACGGGGACCTCCACTGCTTCCACCTCATCCCTGGGCGGCGCTTCCTGGAGGGGCTCGGCCGCGGCGGCGTAGGGCCCGAGCCAGTGGGAGCCGGACAGCAGGTGCACGGACGCCTCCTTGCGCCGGGGCTCGCAGCGGACCTCGTACTCGTGGGTGTTGTCCCGCCCGGCGGCCGAGAAGGCGATGTACAGTACGCTGACGATCACTGACGTGTTGTTCCTTCTCTGTGGGGGTCACGGGGCACTCACTCACACCCGAAGGGGCCCAGGGCTCACCCTGTCCCCCTCGATATCTGGGGGCTCAGCACCAAGGCAGCAGAACCCCAGGAGCCCGGGCTCTGGCCCCAGCTTGGTCACTGACTCCTTCCCCGCAGGGAGCCTCAGTGTCCCCACCTGTAGAAGGGGTGCTACGAGGGCGTCTGGAAGGACAAGGTCAGATTTGACGGGTCAGGGTTTGCTCTGGCTTCAGAGAAGCAGCATCTATGACAGGTAGTGACAATAATCACAGGGACATCCGCCACATTCCAGGCTTTGTGTTGTAAGTGCATTATCTCATTTAATTCTCACAACCCTCTCTTATTGGTACTATTGGTAAAACACTTTACAGGTGAGGAAACTGAGGCCTAGAGGTGACTGGGCCCTTGTCTGAGTCACACAGCACACACGTGTGACAGGGAACATATTCTCACTCAGATCTGCCTGATTCTTACCGTGCTCTTGGCCACCATGCCTCACTCATATCCAAGGACATGGGACCAAACGGGACTCCCACGGCATCCAGTTCCACCTCCCTCCCCTGGCAACCCACAGACGTGCCCGCTGGGGCCTGGCGAAGGCAGCGATGTGCCGAGCCAAGCCCGGAAGCCAAGTCTCCTGCCCCCCAGATAGAAGCCCTGTCCCTGGTGTTATGTGACTTTTCCTCTGGAATCTTTCCTCCACATTATGTCTGCAGCAATTATGTGTCCCTGCTGTTGAGTCCCTGGTCACCAGAGTGGCACCACAGTAAGGCTGGGAAGAGCTGTTGAGGAATGAGATGTGAGAGGTTCGGCACCCCGAGGCGCTGAGGCGTTAGGGCCGGGCCGGGGGCAGCATTCTGATGGGCAGTCTGAAGGGGTCTGGAGCGAGGCTGCTGTGACACAGGGCACCTCCCCCACCCACCCCGAATCTGCAGCAGCCGTGCGCTCCTCAGGTGTCCGACTGCCCCTGCTCAGCAGCGGGGCTTCTAAAAATCAAAGTGGCCTAAAACAGCCCTGGCTTGGGCGGCTTAGCCGGTTGGGGGTCATCTCGCAAAGCCAAAGGTCACTGGTTTGATTCCCAGGTGGGGCACATGCCTGGGTTGAGGGCCAGGTCCCCAGTTGGCGGATGTATGAGAGGCAACCCATCTATGTTTCTCTCCCACATGGGTGTTTCTCCACCCCTCTTTCTCTCTCCCTTCCCCTCTCTCTAAAAATAATGTTTTTCTACAAAGTTGCTTAAAACAGAGAGAGCAGGCCTGGACACTTCGGAGAAGGGAGTTTTGGAGATGAGGCGACCTTGAGGGTCTCTCCCCGCTCTGGGTTTCTGCGATGCAGGGAGCCTCCCTGCATCTGGGCCCAGGCCCCCACCACCACGCCCTCCGAAGAGGACTGGCGCCCTGGGTTCTGTGATGCAGAACCGGGACGCTGGGCACGAAAAGGGCCGTGCCTGGGCATGGCAGGGGACCCAGTCAAGGGGCCTAAGTGAGTCTTCATTGTGAAGAAGGGAGAAAAGTCATGAAATGGGGTGCGGGAAAGTTTTCGATGAGTGAGAGGCTGGAGGAGGAAGGAAAGGCCACCCAAGGTGCTACGGTTATGAAGTCAGATCTGCAGTGCTTTTTAGGTGGCGCGCACAAAGGCCCATATGGCTTATGGCCGTTTGAGCTGTGCGTCTTGGAAAGCTACCCGGTGCGGAGACTGGTTCTCCTGGGCCGACGACTTAAAAGCATGACACGAAGAACCCGTGAGTCCAAGGTTCTCAGCTCTGTGTTTCCAGGATACAAACTCCAAGGGTCTGGGATTCCGTAGTTCCCAGTTCTGGTGGTGGTTCTGTGACCCTGAGACTCTGCGTGTGTGTGAGTTCCTCCTTCTAGATCACACGATTCCCTGTTTCTAGAACTCCCTGTCTGCACCATTTCATGACTCTGTGGAATGGGGTTCTGCCCCAGGGACTCAGTGCCTGGAGAGCAGTACAGGCACATTGTCTTAGCAGCCAACCCCGACCCCGCTTCTCCTCCTCTCAGGTCAAAAGGTCAGCAGCCACCAGAGGCTGGGGAAGCAGAGGGGTGGGCTGGAGGGGCCAAAGGCATATATTTGTATATTCGGCTAATATCAGGGGAGGGGGCGTACGGTTTGCTGGAAAGCCTGTAGTTTCCGCCAGGCCAGTCTGGCAGATCCCCAGGTACCAAGGCTGGGGGGTCACCCTGATGGAGACCAGGGTTCCTTCCCCCCTTGTCCCTCCCTGACCTGTTCCTAAGAATACAAACATCCAGGGTGCTTGGGGCACTGCTCAGCAGCTCTGAGGGCCTGAGCCTGGGTTTAAGGTTTCCAAAACACAAGGATAGCAAAAAAAATTAATTTGCAAGCCTCACTGCCTTTGGAGGGAGGTGGATCCATTACTTGAAGGGCCCTTTTGTTTTGTGGAGCCCAGGGAAGGATTCGGATCACAAGATTAGTGAAGGGGCCCTGGCTGAGGTGGCTCAGCAGCCTGAGCATTGGCCCACGAACTGAAAGGTTGCTGGCTCAGTTCCTGGTCAGGTCCCCAGCTGGGGGCGTGCGAGAGGCAACCAGTTGATGTTTCTCTCACACATCGACATTTCTCTTTTTCCCTCCCTGCCCTCTCTCTAAAAATAAATAAATAAATAAAATCTAAAAACCCACCAGTATTAGGGAAGGGGCAGGCAGCAGGCAGCAGGGCTCACATAGCTCTGCGTGTGGAAGGGGTGAGGATGGGGAGGGCCAGGGGAGCTGGGGGTAGGGGGGCAGCACCGGCAGGGCAGCCTCCAGGGTTGGTCAATCCACAGGGCCTCATGGGAGGAGCCTCCAACAGGGGCTTTTGGTTGTGCCAGGCTGTGCAACAGGCCCCGTATCTGCCTCCCATATCTGAGTTCTTGGTCGTGTCTACACTGAGCACATTTGCTGTGAAGCCAAGAGGGGCCCAGCTCTGATCCAGACTTGTGGTCACCAGAGCCAGGAAGAGAGGCTGAATTCTCAGGAACAGCAGATGCCTTTCTCTCACCTGCCCTCTGTCACGCCCGCCCCCCGCTCCCAGCCCCTACCTGAGACTCGGTACCGCAGGTGTCGAAGCGGGCCTGGATCCGGAAGGTGCCGCCGATCTCCTGGGCAGCACAGCGCCGGCTGCCCAGGTAGACCTGGGTCTGCCCCAGCGGGGCCAGTGCCTGCGTGGAGATCAGGATCTGGAAGTCCGTGCGGGAGCAGCTCACATTCATGGGCACGACTGGGGACAGGAGGGAGGAGCTGGAGGCCTTGGAGGCAGGCAATCTGACCCCCACCCCCCCAGGCTCCCGCTCCCGTGTGGTGAATGGGAAAACTGAGCCCAGAGTGGGCATGGCTCCTTTGCAGTCCTGCGGGGGTGTTCTCCGTGCATTGCTCCACTGAACTCCGTCAGTGGCAGGCGCCAGGCTGCTCCTCAGCGTTCTCCAAGCCTCACACAGGGCTTGGCAGGTACGGCGGATGCTGAATGAACAACTGAATGACTGAGTGAATGAATGAGTGAGTGAATGTTCTTAATCATAATAAAAGCTACTATTTGCTGATTACTTTGCCATGTGCCAAGCGATTCATTCACTCGGTTAACAACAAATACTTATTGAGGGCCTACTATGTGCAAGCACTATTCTAAGTACCACAGATATAGAAATGGTGGGGCAGCCAAAAATTCCTGCCCCCTTGGAGCTCACACCTGCAGTTGGGTGAGGGAACAATATGTAAAATGCGCCTAAGCTCTGGGGCGGCCTGAGGAAGACCAGGCAAGAGCAGAGAGAGAGCAGAGTGTGCGTGTGTTGGAAGGGGGGAGAGGGGCGGGGTGGGGGGTGGCTGCAGCTTTGAAAACAGTGGTGAAGACAGCCTCAGCCTCTCCCCACGATGCCCCCAGGAGGTGAACGTGACTAAAGTGTCTGCACAGTTTGGGAACCGAAGCCCGGAAGGAGAAGCAGTTTGCGGGGGTTGAGTGGGACCGTAACCACCCAGGCTGTAGGACCCCGGAGGTCCCAATCTCCCAGCTGCACAGACCCAACATTCGGGTTGCACTGTGGTGGCCTGGGGGGCGCAGGGGGCCACCACAAGCCACCACAGGGCGACTCGAATCTTGGGTCTGTGCGGGCATGTGTGTGTGTGCACACACATGTGTGTGCTGGGCGGTGCTTGGGGGGGCAGGGTGAGTGTAGGGGAAAGGAAGGGGGGCGCCAGCGGGAGGAAAGGGAAAGAGCTGGCAGCCGGGGGCCTAGGACTCTGGACGCCCCTTCGGGAAATGCCTCAGACATATTTCAGCCTCTGGTGTCTGGGCAGTCAGGGATTTATGGGTCTGCCGTCTCCCACGATGATCTTGGTGGCGCTGAACTGTGTGTCACCTTTGATGGATGTGAAGCTGTCCTCTAGCCGGGGGGCCGCCTGCAGCCTGGGCCACATCTGGCGCCTCGCCCAGCATGACTGCCCCTGTCTGACCCCGGGCTCCCATGGGGACTGGGGAGGGAGGTGTGGTGTGGCGGGGCGGGGGCTCCTGCCCCAACGGGAGCCAGGATTAGAGCTGCCTCACCCTCCGTCCCTGGAGGCACCAAAAGGAGAAGGGGCTTGTCTGAGATCACACAGAGCTGGGAGGGGACCCAGGCTTGGAACTAAGACTATGGGGGCCAAAAGGGGCTTGAAAGATCCGTCAGCCAACGTCCTCGTTTTACAGGTGGAAAAGCTGAGATCCACAAAGAGCAAGTGTCTGGCCAGCTAGCTGTGGCAAAGTACCATGGCCCCTGGCTGTGCGGAGTGCAACCTGAGGAGGGCGCCCCTCTAACAGAGGGATCCTTCTCCCCTCCCAGGGTGGGGAAGGGGCTGACTGAGGCCCGGGGGTGGGGCTGCCCAGGCCACCCCTCTCCACTAGCTCGCTGCAGCTCTGCTGTTCCCTGTCCCACCGCAGGGCCGGCCCCCCAACCCCTCTTGTATGTGAAGTAAGGAGAGGGGAAAGATCTTTCGAATGCAGGACAGGCCTGAAGCACATGAGAGAAAGAAATCCATCCTCAGCAAGGATGGCCTCAGAGCCAGGCACTGTGACCTGTGTCACCTCATTTCATCTTGATGACAGTCTGTCTAGGGCATCCGTCAACCCCCTCCACAGATGAATGGTCAGTGGACGGCAGCACTTGGATGTGGCCTTGGTCTGTCTGAGCTCAGCAGGGCCTCCTCTGGGCCCCGCTCAGCCACACACGAAGGCAGGGAGTGAGTTCTAGCCTTGGCTGTGCCATCCTCTCCTGCACCTGTTTCCGCACCTGCACAACAGAGAGCTTCGGCCTGCCAGGCAGAGGGCGGAATGGGCCAGGACACCGACATTTCCCCATGGCCCCGGGAAGGGCGGTGAGAAGGGAGTGATGTCGGCTGGCAAATCTCACCAGCACTGTGGAGGCTGGAAAAGCTGAGTGCCAACGTCCCCAGCCTCCTCTGCAGTTAGCCATGGCCCTCTGGCCAAGTTCAAACCAATGAAACCAAGAAGTCTTTTGATGGATGCTGAGAATGGTTTTGCTTTCCTGATGAAAGGAAATTTGTGGCTGGCACCTCTCCTACCCTTCCAGCTCTTGAATATGGACATGATGCCTGATGTTGTGGCAGCCATTTTGTAGTAATGAGGCCAAGAGAATCCCAGAGATACCAGCTGGGACAGGGTTGAGTTCCTGAACCAACACAGAAGCTGCCTAGCTCCAGACTTCTTGTGAAGTGAGGAAAACAAAAGCCATTTGTTTCAGCCACTGTCAGTCAGGATCTCTAACTGATACAAGCAAGGCTGGTCAGCATCCATGTGGTTACACCAATCGTTTACCATAAACAACACTACCATGTTTTGTATATTACCCCTGGATAAAGGACTGAGATCAACCACTGTGCAAGAGAGGCCAGAAGCCAATGGGGAAGGAGCCAGATGGGGAGGGATGAGGGATTGTGGAGCTGGAAGCTGGAAAAGTAGGTCCCTGCAACAGTGCAAATAAGTAAGGACCACACTGGCACAGTCTCAGTGGTTCCAGAGCAGGAGTCGGTGGCAGTAGAGTCACCTGGAAAGAGGTTGTGGAGACCAGTTTGTGGAATGGAGGAAGGAAACTAACTGCGAAGACCTGGGCCCCCACCCTGCCGCCCCCGCTCCAGCACACCACCCCTCCCAGCCCGGCTGACCTCCGATGTAGGCCACAGAGAAGCCCCTGAGGGTGGTGCTGCGGTCCGTGTGCAGCCGGAGCAGGAGCTGGCTGCGGCTAGAGGTGACCGGGGGCGGCAGGTAGCGGCCACACCAGCTCCCCAGCAGGGGTGCCTGCTCGCTGGCCCCGTCGAAGGCTGCCAGATGGTCAAAGTCGCAGGTCTTGGTCAGGCTGTTGGGCTCTTCCAGTTCCAGGTCCAGGAAGAACATCTTAACCCGGTAGCCAGGAGGCAGGCGGATGGTCCAGTGGCAGCGGATGTTGTTGGGGTAGGAGCTGGGGTAGTTTGGGCTGGAGAAGTTGCCCCGCACAGCTGTGTACACCTCCTGGCATTCTCCTGGGGAGGAGTGGGTGGGAGGAGCAATGGTGAGAAGGGCGGGGACTGTTATTTTCTGCAACAGGTGCTATATGGTTATAATGCCACCCTGGCAGGTTGTGGGCACCGGGCCACAAAACTAGACAGTTGATCCCAAAGCCGACTTCAACCTGAAATTAGCTAAAAGCTGGGAATCTCATTCCAACTGGCACTTCCCTTCATGCATGTTGGCTCTGTTTGGCATTTAAAAACAGTACCTAATACTGGTCCTTAGAGTTGAGTCTAAACTTGGACTTGACAGTGTGGTTCATGACTGACCCTGCCCTTTTGACTGCCCCTCATCCACCCCTACCTTCCAGCCTCACCAAACATCTCCTAGTACTATGAGCAAAGCACACCAAACCCTCTCTGTCCTCCATGCATTTGCACATGCAGATCCCTCTGCTTGGAGCACCCTTCCCTTGCTTCTGCCTAATTAAAGCACTGCCCAATTCCCTCCTCTCCCAGGATGTCATCCATGATTCTTACTGTTACACAGCATAGGTCACAGTGAGTTGTCACTGTCCGTTTCCTTTTCCATCTCCTCCTACAGAGGGTGAATACCCCCCAGGGTTCATTCATTTACTTATACAAACATTAATTAAACAGCTCCACATGGCAGGCACAAAGATAAGCCCATAGGAACTCATGCAGGCAGAGAAGATCAACAGACAACAGATCATTGCTGAGAAAACTTCTGTAACGAATTGAAGGAAGGGACTAATTCTGAGTGAATCAGGAAGTCTTCACGGAGGAGGTGACATGCTTATGCCTTGGCATTGGCCAGGCAGGGAAGAGTGTGCTGGAGCATCCCAGGCAGAGAGAGAGCAGAACGCGAAAAGTCCAGAGGCAGGAAAGGGTGACTCTCTCCACACAATCGCACTGGGGAGGCAGGTGCCCGGCATGCACTGGGAACTGGGGTATGCCCGCAGTCCCTCCTACCTGAGAAGTAGTAGGCCTTGAACCCCCGGCCTCCGATGTTAAAGTCGGACTTAAAGATCACCTGCAGCTCATGGCCCAGCGACACCAGGGTGGGTGGCCTGGAGCTGCCACAGTAGCGGTGCCCGTGGGCAGGGCCTGGCACCCCGAGCACAGCCACGTAGTCATAGGCACACTCATCGCTGCCCTCCACCTGGAAGTCCACGAACACCAGCTTGACGGTGGCAGGGCCAGTGGCCCGGATCACCCAGTGGCACTCCACGTTGTTGGGGTAATTGTTCGGGTATTCAGGGCTGGTGAGGATCCCCGATAGGCCCGTCAGGACACCACCACACACATCTGTAAGGGAGCCCGGTTTAACTCACCTTTCTCCTTCCCTGTGGCTCCACGTTCCCCTCCCATGGGCACCAGACACCCCCCAACGAGCCACTCCCACAGGGAACCTCATCGCCATCCCCTGAGCGCTTGCCCCGTGGCAGGCGCAGTCAGGCACTTAGCACCTGCACCGTCTTTTTAAACTGTTACACACCCCTGTGAGGGACAGGCAGTGGTTCTTCCCATTAATGGTGGAGAAAACGGTGGCACAGAAAAGTTAATTTACTTACCTGTGTGAGTTGGGCTTCACCTGCACTCTGGACAAGGATTTGAGCACAATGAGTGTATCTGGGAGATACAGGGGTCCCCATGTGCGCAGTGAGGGGCTGAGGGTCGCTAAAGGGGAGGGACGGGGAGACAGCCACTGCAGGGTGTTGCTGAACCAGCCACTGAGCCCTGCTGAGGAGTCTGGGGACCAGTGTGAAGCTGGGGGTAGGGGGGCCAGCGGAGACTTCAGAGAAAGCCCTCAAGCGAAGAGATGAGGAGGTTGGCAGGTACCATTAAAGTGGCAAGGCCCAAGGGACAGGGATAGGGACAGGGCCCCGACAGCAGGCCGCTGGGCTGGTAACACGGAAAATGGGGTTTGACTGACTGCAATGCCTGTGCACTTGATCTTGTGATACCTGCCGTTGCTCTGACCAGGCCAGTGGGGCACAGAGGCTGAGGTGCCTGAGTTCAGAATTGCTAGTAAACCTCCCTAACAGGTGAGGAAACTGAGGCTTAGAGAGAGGATCTGATGAAGTAGAGATGGGCTTGGAGTCCGAGGACGGTGGTCCTCCTAACTCTGCCTTATGTCAGCTGCGTGACCCTGGGCAAGTCACCCAGCTCTCTCTGAGCCTCACGGGAATATTAGAAACCATCGCCCTTGCCCAGCCTGGCCCATGGGGCTCAGACTCCTGCAGAGTCTAAGAAGGCTCTGGTGAAATCCCTTCGGAGCCCTGTGTGACCAGTACAACCAGGAGGTGGTTGATGACGAACATCATGACTGGCTGGGTACCACCAACTGTGAGGGGCACACTCAGATGTATTTCCCGAGACTCCAGCATCTCGCCCCACGGTGTGGCTGTGCGGACCGAGGGCTGTGCTGGGCCCTCGGACGACCTGACTTCCTGTCCCAATGATTTCCCCTCTGAGCTGTGTGACCTTGGGGAGGCACATTCTCTCTCTGGCCTCAGAGCTGCTGTTTGGGGAATGAGAGGGCGGGCTCTGACATGTGCGATCCCTTCCAAGGCTAACACCCTTAGCAGAGCCTGTCCAACTGTGCCCCAGCACTCCTCAGGAGCCTTCTGGAGCCTCTGTCTGCAGCATCTGGTGCATATTTCATTCCTATGCTGTGTTCAAACTATTCAAACTATTTTCTAATGCAACAAAAGATGGTGTCCACAGATACATGCCTTACATGTAAAAATTTAACTCATTGGTGGCCGTAAGTACTGACTTAGGTATGTTTTCAATGCTTGGCTTATGATAAATGTTAAAAATATGAACTTATGAAACAAATGTGTACACCAGAATACTGGCCACCTTTGTCCTTCATATATCAAGGATTAACGTAAGGTCCCATTTGACGTAAAGGTACTACTGTTCTAAAAAATGCCAAGCCCTGTGCCCACTTCAGCAGCACATGTAGTAAAATCGGAACAATACAGAGAAGATTAGGATGGCCCCTGCCCAAGGATGACACGCACATTCGTGAAGTGTTCTGTATTTCTACGGGTAGTTACAGAATAGCCATGGGGATGTAAAGCACAGTGTAGGACATGGAGAAGGCAAAGAACTTAAATGCATGACCCATGGACATGAACCTTGGTCGGGGGATTTCCTGAGGGTGCTGGGTGGAGGGGGGCAAAGGGGGAAAAATCAGGACAACTGTAACAGCAAAATCAGTAAAATATAATTTTTAAAAAGTGCTGGGCCCCAACCAGCATTGCTCAGTTGGTTGAGTTTCATTCACAAACCGAAAGGTGGCGGGTTCAATTCCTGGTCAGGGCATGTGCCTGGGTTGCGGGCCTGGTCCCTGGTCGGGACACGTGTGAGAGGCAGTTGATGGATGTTTCTCTCTTGCACATTGATGCTTCTCTCCCTTTCTTCCTCCCTCCCTCCCTTCCCCCTCTCTGAAAATAAATAAATAAAATCTTTTTTTAAAGTAAATTTAAAAAATGTTGGTACATCTCGCCCATGGTATTATGACTCTGACATCTGAACATTCTAAAAATCTAAGGGTCTAAGATTCCAAAACTGCTATTAAATCAGTCTGTGGCTCTGGTGGTTTAGCATTCTACCATTCTATGTCTCTAAAGTCAGAGAGAACTGGGGTTCCACCTGAGCCCCCTGGTTGCTGTCGATGGACCCCATGTGCCAGGAGCCTCGAGGGTTGTTTGCTGCTTGAGCTGCCAAGAATAAGTTTGTGCAGAGAAGGACAGAGGAACAAGTCAAGGAGAAAGGCAAGGAGAACAAGGCCTCTGCCTCCCTCACTAGACTGGGGGCAGGTTGCCAGCCTGCTCAGAGGAGGGAGGGGCTAAGGACCCTGGATACGAGAGACGAGTTCAGGAAAGGCTTTGGGAGGGAGAGCATCAGCAGCTCCACACGGACCCTTGTGGCCCTTCCATCGGACGACCCTGAAGGGGTGCGGGGTCCTATGCCCATGAAACACTGAGATGACACAGAGGGACCAGCAGCAGTGACAGGGTGGCATCCCCTCCAGTGTCCTGACGCCGGGGCCGGGATCAGGAGGAGAAGAATAGAGGAATACGAGAGGCCTCGTTCCTGAGCACAGCGAGGACTGAGACGCAGTGAGACACTTGGGGGCTCCCGGGAACAACAGAGGGAGACATGGGGGTTGTCGCCGTGAAGATGGGACCCTGCAACTACCAAGATGACAGACAGAGGCTGCCTTTGCCCTGTGAGCTCTGAGAGCAAGTCTTCCAGGTGACAGGGCAGCCCACACGCTAAGATGCTGAGACCCTGCAAGTCTCAGCCTAGCCCTACCGCTCTTCCCCGGCCTCCACCCCGGGACCACCCTCTCCACTGCCAAGTCCCCCTTGCCTTTCTGATAGCCCGCAGAAAAGCCACGGCTGGCCACGTGCTTATCGGAGTGGAAGATGACAGACAGGACGTGCCAGGAGGAGGTGAAGGGTGGTGGGGGCACCTGGCCGCAGAACCTCCCCAGCAGGTTGCCCGGCTCTGCTGCAGCGCCGTTGTAGATCTCCAGGAAGTCAAAGCTGCAGGTGTCGTGGTACTCCAGGTCAAAGGCGTGGAAGGTGAGCAGCACGGAGGAGCCCTCGGCCACCACGATCAGCCAGCTGCACTCCGTGTTGTAGGGGTAGGGTCTGGGGAAGTTGGGGCTCGAGAAGTTTCCGGAAGGTGCTGAGAGCACACCCCCACATTTGACACCTGAGGCGAGAAGGAAGGGTGGCTCAGAGTCCGCATGAAGCAGTGGGTGGTGGGCCGGCTGCACAGCCGGGTCTTTGGGATGGGAGGAGGGAGCCTGAGGCCCTGGCCCTAAATTAATTCACTTTTTCATGTACTTGTTCATTTATTTACTTGTTCTTTATGTTTTTATCAAACATGATTTTATTCATTCAATAAATATCATTTGAGTGCTAGGCATTGCTCTAGGTGCTGACGTTTAGCAGGAACAACACACAAAAACTCCTGCCCTCATGGAATTTACATTTTGGTGGGGGAGAAAGATAATAAACACCATAAGTAAAATATAGAGCAAATTAAATAGTTAAAATGCTATGGAGAAAATGTAGGGAAAGGAGACAGGATGCCAGGTGAGCCTATAATTTTAGACAGAATAGTGCTATATGTCAGGCCCTGGATATGTGCAGGAGGGAATTTAAAAATTTTTTAAATAATAAGTCCTCGTCACCCTGAGTGAAAATGTGCACAGCCTATTATAATGTTAAAAGTATGTTCTTAGCCCTGGCTGGTGTGGTTGAGTGGATTGAGCGCCGGCCTGCAGACCAAAGGGCTGTTGGTTTGACTCCCGGTCGGGGCACATGCCTGGGTTGTGGCCCAGGCCCCCAGGAGGGGATGCTCAAGAGGCAACCACACATGGATGTTTTTCTCCCTTTCTTCCTCCCTCCTTTCCCCTCTCTCTAAAAATAAATAAATAGAATCTTTTTAAAAAAGGTATATTCTTATATGTACATATTTGCTTATAGTTTAAAAAAGAAAACAAGGGAAGGAAGTGAATGGAAACGATTCTCTGCTGGGGAGGGAGCAAAGGAGAGGAACCAGGCGTGAATGCCGGACCTCTCTCAGTGCAACTTGCTTTATAATTTTGACTTTATAATTGTGAATGATTTTAATGTAATTTTTAAATTATAAAAAAATTTTAAGTAACCCTTAAATATCCCGAACTGAAACAAATAAACTTAACTACATTACCAAGTTAGAGGCACATTCACGTGGAGAAAAATGACTTCAAATGACTGTGAAAGACACTGTTTGACTGAACATTCCTAGTGGGATGTATCCCAAGGACAAAGAAACCCACAAAGAAATCTTGAAGCATATTTAGTAGGCTATTAGTAATAATAGTAAATACTATTACTGTATTTTATCTATTGAAACAAAGCAGTATGTTAATGTCAATAGAAACTCAGTTTTTCAGTATAACAGAAGAATGATACAGATATAAAATTTAAAAATTAAGTAAAACTGCCTTGGCTGGCATAGCTCAGTGGATTGAGCTCGGGCTGCGAACCAAAGTGTCGCAGGTTCGATTCCCAGCCAGGGTACATGCCTGGGTTGCAGGCCATAACCCCCAGCAACCGCACATTGATGTTTCTCTCTCTCTTTCTCTCTCCCTTCCCTCTCTAAAAATAAATAAATAAATAAATAAATCTTTTTAAAAAAGAGTACATAAAGTAATACATTAAAAAAAATTAAGTAAAACCCTTGTGAGATCCTTAAGTTGAATTGAGAACATCAATATGAATTTAAGGTGCTTTTTATTTCTGAAAAATAATGTCCTAGTTCTGTTCATTAAAAAGGCTTAAGAGTAACAATATTCCAGTAGTATGTTGTGCCCTGGGCCTTAGATGAGGATTATTATGTCCAATGAGAAACAGTGGAACTGGGGCAGGAAACATGCAAAACACACTGGGGACATCGCGTCACTCCAGAAGGCAGAGAAGCTGGCGAGGACCGCAGGGTTGTGTCAGAAGTCACAGGAACCTACTTGAAGGGGCTGCTACTGGCTGAAGAAGGTACAGTTGGAGCACCAGAATAGAGTGATGACTGCACTGGATTAAAACACATCAAATATGTAAAAACTCATGAATTCATAATGCAACTCTAAAGAAATAAAAGAGAAACTCATTGGTTTCCTTGAGAGCTTTCTGGGGTACAGACTCATTTTTTTTCATTAGTATGTAGAAAGAGAAAGAATTAAACATCTACTTTGCCTCCCCTGTTGTGTGCTGTGTTTCAGGGTAACCACATAGCTGGTGGAGGAAAACTGGTATTTACAGCTGACTGCAGAAAGAAGGAGCACGTTAGGAGATCAGAATTCTGCACACCTGAATGAAATAATCATCTTCAGTGTCTGTTCTAACAGCTGAGTAAAAAAGCAAATGAGGTAAAACTTAGATGGTTGGGTAGTTAGGTACTCCAGGTAAAAGTCTTTCAATTTTGCTAAATATTTGAAAATTTGTATCATTAAAAAATACCAAAATATTACTTTTATAGGTAATGAAATGAAAAGGCAACCTATAGAACTGGTGAAAATATTGAATTTGCAAATCATACATCTGATAAGGGTTTAGTATCCCAAATATAAATTCATAGAACTCCATAGCAAAAAACAAAAACAAAAACAAAACCAAAACCAAAACAGCCATTAAAAATGGGCAGAGAAACTGAAGAGACGTTTTTCCAAAGAAGACATATGAATGGCCAATAGGTACGGGAAAAGGTGCTCCATTTGACTCACTAGTCACCATGGAAATGCAAATCGACACCACACGGACCTGTCACCTCACACTGTTAGAAGGGCTGTCACCAAAGAGACGGGAGGTAGCAAGTGCGGGTGAGGGTGTGGGCAAGGGCAAACCTTTAAGCCCTGGGGGTGGGAGTGGAAGATAGTGCAGCCACCATGCGAACAGTATGGAGGGTCCTCGAAACATCTGAATTAGAACTACCACAGACTTCAGCAATCCCACTGCAGGGCACACACCCGGAGGAAATGAAAACAGAATACTAAAGAGGTTTTTGCTCTCCTGTGCTCATTGCAGCATTCTTTGTAACAACCAAGATACGGGAAAGCACTAAGTGTCCATTAACAGGTAAATGGATAAAGAAGATATGATATACACACTGTGTGTGTGTGTGTGTGTGTGTGTGTGCGCGCGCGCGCTCGGGGTCTGGCGGAAGTAACGCCTGCTTAAGTGTGGTTGGTAGGGTATGTGAATGTCTCACACGAGATGGACAGCAATTTGAACATTTCACCTAAACTGTCCTATGGCGTGCTTGAGTGTGACATTGTTACATTACAGAGTTACATGATTTTGTAATAAAAGATTCTGTAATAAAAAAGGGGCGTCATGTGTGCCGGACCCTGCACACACACATTATGGAATTTAAAAAGGCCATCCTTTCATTTACGACCACATGGATGGACCTTGAGGACACTTTATGATATGAAACCAGCCAGACAGAGCAAGACAAATACTGCATATCACTTACATGTGGAATCTAAAAAAGGAGAAGTCAAACTCATAGAAACAGCATAGAAAAGTGGTTGCCAGGGGAGAGGACAGCATATACGTCTGTTAGAGATGCATTCTGACGTATTTACGGTGAAATGACATATCTGGGACTGGCATAAAACAGGTGCTTGATGCACATCGGCCAAATGAATGAGTGTCTGATTTTCCATCATCCTCACAATAGCTCCGTAAAACAGACAAAGCAGGTGTGAGTGTCTCCATTTTACAGATGAGAAAGCTGAGGCCCAGAAAGGGAAGTTACTTGCTATAGCTCTCATCTAGTGTGTTGGTCTTCCCAGCACCCATTTCTCTATCTCTTGCAGCAACATGCCCCCTCTTTCCAACACTGGCTCCCCTGTCTCTGTGGGGTAACACCCTGATCACAGGACCCCACCGGGCAATTCTGGGGCTCCCGCCACCACGGCGGTGACCGGCCTGCAAGGTGGGCCTGTGCTTGGTGGGGCCAGAGTCCTGCTGAAGGACACCCGGAGGAGAGCCCTGTGCTCTCTAGTCCCTAGGCTGGGAGTGAGCACCCTGGGTGGGACCGTGCTCAGGGCCCACTGAGAAAGCTTGTCAGCAAATGGCGAGAACCATGTGAAAAGTGAAAATGACCCAGAAGCCAGGATGCTCTGGCTACAGGCATCCCGGAGCCTAGCTCATTGCACTCCTGCCTCCCGGGTTACAGAGCTGGGGCACTCCTCACCCTGCTTAAACTCATCCAGGCAGGTTTGTCACTTGCAACCGAAACCATCTTGAAGAATACCCTTAACCAGGGTTCCTGTAAGAGAAGATACCTCACCGAGCATGCGCACTGTCCCAGGTCTGTGCTGATTCAGAACGGGTCCCTCCCTCCCCGGGAGCTCACAGGCACGGGTGGGGTGGGAGTGGGGAGGGGGTCAGGCATATGAGACAATGCATGCACGGGGGCCCCGGGGGCCAGAGGAAGGGAGACCAGTCTCGCTGGGGCAGCACTATTGGGGATGGACACGATTCGCAGAGGAAGGGGTATTTGAGTTTGTGAGGAACGAGGTTTGTTAGTTGGGAAGATTTGGAAAGGGAAAATGATATGGACAAAGGCTCAGACTCCCTGTCACTGACCCTCCTGAACCTCAGTCTTGCATCTGTGAAATGGGGACAATGGCACCTCCCTGGCTGGGTAGCTGTGAGCAGGGATGACATAAAGCCACACAAGGGCTGCAAGGGGCACACCCGGTTCACATTCTCAGCTCCCTGCCAGCCCCGGGGCAGGCCAGGCAGGGACGGTGTCTGACTCATGCCTTTATGGTAGGAAGACAGAGGGACAGTTGCTGTCCCATCCTTGCCCCAGCCCTGCCCACAGGACGGGTCATGCCATGACAGAGTCAGAGCCAAAGTCTCATGACCCAGGACTTACCCAGGCACTGACCCCCAAGGTCACCCCAAGGTCACCGAAGCCCAGGTGGCTGGAAAATGGGAACAGTTGGCTCCTCCCACCACCTGGTCATGGAATGAGACACCTGGGTGTCCAGCCCATCTGTGCCACCAGCTAGGTGACTGACCAGTTACACTTCCTTCCTGAGCCCCCCTTGGGCCTGTAGGAAAATGAGGTGCTGACAGCTTTTTGATGAGCTCCGACTGCGTGCACGCCCCTTGCTGGTGAATGAGACCGCCTTCCTTTCACGGGCACACACACTCGGCTCAAAGGGCCAGAGCAGTACAAAGAGGCCTGGGCCCAGTGCTGGCAGAGGCTTCGGGGAACATCTGTGGATGAAGAAGTCACTCGGACAGCCTCCCCGAGCAGGTGGTGTTTGACCTTAGTTTGATGGATGAGCCAGATGTTCTCAGGTGGAAAAAGACAGAAGGGACAAGGGACACTCTGGGGTGAAAGGGGTGTGACCCTCAGTCAGAGTGCAGGATGCCCTGGGGACACAGCACACCAGAGGCTGGATATGGCACGGAAATCGGAGCCGTGCTGGGAGCGTGCTGACTGCCACCCCAGGGAACTCTGATTTCACCCGGCAGGCAGCAGGAACAACAGCGGGCTCTCAGGAGCGGACCGAAGGCTCCTTCCAGCATCAAACCAGTACTGGTTCTTTGAGCCATTCCCTTTGCCCTTGGTAACCACGCAGGCTCAGATAGGTTACTTAACCTCTCTCACCCTCAATTTCCTCATCTGTAAAATGGGGTCTAATACCCACCTTGAAGTTTGTTGTGAAGATTAAACACAATCATCAATGTAAAGCATCCAGCACATAGTAGGCACTAGTGAGTACTGTCTTCCTCCCATCCCAGAAGCAAACATATCCTCAATCAGCCAGCTTCCCCCAAAAGGCCTCCTGCTTTCTGGCCTCCCATGTAGAAACCTGCCGAGCCCCCCACCGCTGCCTGCCCACTCCTCCCCGCTCCTCCCCACTGGTGAGCTGCCTGTGGCCAGGAGCTCCTACCTTTCATGGCTCGGGCCCTGGGTCCCGGACCCAGCAGTGCCACTGCCAGCAGCAGGCAGCACCCCAGCTCTGTCAGCATCTCCTCTCGGGGGGCCCACAAGTCTGCAGGCCAGGGTCTGAGGGTCCAAAGCAGGGGAAGGAGAGGTGAGGCTGAAAGGGCCTCCAAGTTAATGGTGGCATGAATAATTCATTGGCCCCTCGAATTAGTAAGCTGATCCTCAGGTGCTTCCCTCACTCCACCCTAAGGTGACAGATCCAGTGTCACCAGGTTTACACGTCCTGAGATCTGCACTGGCCATGCTGCTGCTGCTCCAGGGAGGGAAGCAAGCCGGGGCTGGAGGGAGTTTGGCGGTGGAGGAGGGGCCTGAGTCCTGGGCTAGACAGAGCTGCCATCCATCCCAGGTCTGCCTCTGACTTGCCAGGTGACCTGGAACCTCTGGGTCTCGGCCTTACCCAGCTGCGCAGTGGGAGCATTCAGCCCTGCCCACTGTGGGCACGAAACGTGGTAACATGCGACGGCACACAGAGGGCGCTCGCTGCAGGGCTTTCCCGTCCCCCCCTCCTGGGGGAGCTGGAGGGAACCTCTAAACAGTGGGACATGTGGGGCACGCATCCTTCAGACACACTTAGATGAGCTCCGAGGGAGAGCGAGGGAGGTGGTGGCGGGCAGGTGGCTGACGAGGGAAAGGCCTCTGTCGTGGGAGAATTCGGCAGGAGTGACAGAATGGGGTGATCACACTGTGCAATCCCTAGTACAGTCACGGATTGGGGCCACCGCTTAAATGCTGGCAGAGAATAGCAACGTTTACCCCTTTATTGCTCCACACACCTTGCTCGAACATCCCTAAGTGCCGACCGCTGCAGGGGCAAGGCTGCAGAAATGCCCTCGGGGCCCGGGGTCCAACAGGACGCAGGAGCTTTGCACATTCTCTGGGGGCCTGTTTGGTTTGGTTCGGCTGAGGCCACTTCCTCAGCGCCTCTGCCCAGAGCCTGCACCAGGCACGGGGCATCTGGGGCGAGGAGCCTGGGCTCTGCTTGGACAGATGGACGGTCAGACAGATGAGGTCTGCATCCTGGCCCTCCCACCTGCCGCCAGACTGCGGAGCCCGGGAAAGTCGCCAGCCTCTCTGAGACGCAGGTCCTCGACGCGAGGCTGGGCAGCACGGGGCTGCAGGTCGGTGGGCCACACGAGGTGTGGGAAGTCCTGGCTCCGTGCTGAGGAGCGAGTAGGACTTATCCTTACCTCAGAGGAACTCAGATGTCCACCTGTCAGACCTCAGGTTGCCTCTGGCCCGTCCTCCTGTCGGGAGGTCCCCAGGGAGCCCTCTGGAGCCAGCCCGGGAGGCCACCTGGAAGGTGTTCAGCAAAGAGCATCAGGAATAGGCCCAAGGGATCTGCTTACCTGTAGGGCTTGATTGGCAGGAACGAAGGTCCTGCTGTCCTGGGCAGTCTGAGGGGCGGGCGCTTGTATGAAACAACCACCAGGTGTGAGAAGGAGCTAGCCCGGGCCCTACTAAGTGCTGGGCGTGGTGCTGGGCGCCTCCCACAGAACATACGTGGAAGACTTTTCCCATCGTGGAGAGGACGGCCCTGGGGCTCAGGGCCCCGAGCTGCTGTCTCGGGCCGGGTTGTTCCACAGGAAGACCTCTGACAAGAACTACGGGGCAAGTAGTTTGTACCAGGAAAGAGCCAGAAGCCCAGGAGTGGAAGTGGGGAATTGAGACAGGGGTGAAAAGCAGCCAGTTCAGGGAGTGTTCATGAACAGCTTGCTGTTTGGGGCGGGGGGCGGCAAACAACGCTTAACCCCCACAGGCACCCCCAGAGATGGTGTAGGCTACCACCCCAAGTTCTTCCACCGAGGGGTGAGGAAGTGGAGTGTCGGCCTACCAACTGCCAGCTGTCCCCACGTGCAGGCACCCCAGCCCGCCTGTGGATGGGGAGCAGTGGTCCAGGGGCTGCGGGCACAGAGTCCACGAGCCTGGGAGTGGCGAGTGTCGCAGAGTGCGGGCAGGACCGTGACAGCCGTCAACTGAGCCATCCGTATGACCGCTGCTGTTACAGCAACAAAACTGCCTCTTTCTAGAATGTTCCTCTCACCATGTCCCCCCTCTGCTCAGGATAAAATCCAAAGTCCTCTGCTTGGCGTTCAGGCCTCTTCAGGACTGACCTTGAGTTTAGTCCCGAAGCCCCAGACTTTGTCCCTGTGTTGAGCGCCACGTCCCAGCCGCCAGGTTGGTCTCCCACGTCTCCTCACGTGCTGTGCCCCGAGCTGGGGTGGCCCTTCTTTCTGCTCCACCGTCCCCTGACAGACTCAACTCGTCCTTCAGAACACTGTCACCATCCCAGGGAGCTGCCGTGGCCCCTCCCCGGGCTCACCTCCAGCACTGAGAGGTCCGCCTGCACTCTGGCCAGTTTTTCTATGAACACCCTCTGTCTCTCGGGCTTTCACCCCAAACTCTCACTTGTCTCTGTCCCCACTGCACCCATCCCCCGCCCCAGCACACCCTCAGTGCTCAGCTGCCATTTATGGACTGAGCTGCTCAAGGACGCCCAGCTGGGCAGCGTCCTACCCATTGGAGCCCATGTTCATTTTTGAGCAAAGAACAAGTGGCAGAACGGTCTGGTGGTTAGGCATGAAGCTGCTGGAACCGAGACCATGTGGGTTCAAATAAAGTCTCTGGCAGTTTCTGGCTGTGTGACATTGGATAAGACACTGGGCCCCTCTGGGTCTCTGCTTCCTCACCTGTGCAATGAGAGTGGCGTCTCCCTGCAGGGCGCGGTGAGGGCTGAATGGGCTGAGACCCCGGGGGTGTGCAGCAGAGCGCCAGACCCTCCAAGCTTGGCCGCATGTTTTCCCTTACCCACATCCCACTTGTGTGAGCTCCAAGCGCTACACTGGCCTCGGATCTTCATGCACTTTTCTTTCTAACCCACCTGCCTCTGAAGTCACCTCTGAGTCAGGCCTCCCCTACCTGGCGGCCCCTCCCTCCAGTCAGCAGCCTTCTCTCCTCTTCCCTAGCTGAGGTGGTAGAAATGCAACAAAGGCACCATCACCTGCCCACCAGGGTCACTAGGATGTGTCTGAGCTGCTCACAAGACTGTCAGCCCCAGGCACCTGGGAGTCTGCCTCGATGTGCACCCCCAGGGCTGAGGGCCCGCCCTCAAACTCCTGGGGTGCCTTGGCAGAGAGATGGCCCTCCTCTCTGTGGTTGGCTGTGCAGCATCCCAGAGCTGACAGACACAGGGCTGGCCCTGATGCGGTGCTGCATGTCTGGCGGGGCTGGTGGGGTTCGTTCACCACCCTGTGTGCCTGCTCTGTCACTGTGCAGCCTTGTCTGTCTCGGGGGGCATCTGGCCATGAACTGCACCCTCAGGTACAGGAGCACGTCTTAGTGTCTGCACATCGGGTACCACCATGCCCGTGTCTGCAGGTGACTGTCTGTTTCTGGGTGTGGATGTGTCCTTTGATGGCTGCACCTGTCACTGTGCCTCACGTGTGTTTCTTTGCTCATATGCCCATCTTCATGTGCAGACGTGGGTCACACACGTCACACACAGTCTGCTTCTATGTACACACGTGTCTGTGTGTCCACGCAGAGACATCCGGGTACCGCATGAACCCAGCTCTCTCTCTGGATCTACAAAAGGCCTCTGCGGGACTCCTGTCCCTCACTAGGTGTGGATCCCTGTCCCTGCAAATGTCACAGCTTCGCACATGCATGACAGTCACAGGGGATCTGTGCCTTTCTGCACAGGTACACAGCTATCTGCTGGTGTACCGGTCTGTGTCTCCATGTACAACTCACCTCCAGGGGTGCATATCGCGCCTGAGTGTCCCTAATGCTCAGAACGCATGCGCGCGCAGTCCTGGGGTGCTCGTCTGAACCTGCTCCACACGAAGCCAGTTCTGTCTTCCTATCTGCTTTCTGTCCCAGCGCCCCAGCGGAGGGGTGGCGCCCAGGAGATAGCAAGGTGCTGTCTAACGCCTCCCTTTTCTACAAAGGTCTGGGTGGTGGAAAGGGGGAGGCAGGGGACAGGGAGCAGAGAGGCGGCCTCCCTGGGGGTTTCTGGTTGGGCCCCAGGGAGCCCTGTCTCTCCATTCACAGAGCCCTGGGGACTTGGGGGTCTTCCCATGAGCATGGTCCTGGAGGCAGAAGCCAGGAGGTAGGAATGGTCAGGGAGCAGCACCCCACCCTTGGTCTGCTGGGGCTGGCCCTGCCTGGTGGGAACTGCGCCTCCGAATTTCTCTGCCGGCCGTATAGAAGCCACGGGGGCAGCGGGGTGGGTGGCAGCACAGTGTGCACAGGTGTGTGTGTGGGGGGGGGCGCCCTATGTGATGAGAAGGAGAAGGGGGTGGGAATGCAGAGAGAACTACCAGCAGAGTGAGAGAGATGAAGGGTCACGGAGAGAGGTGGAAAGTTAGCCTCGGGGGAGGCAGGAGGAGACACTCCCTGACAAAGCCACGGCTGGTGATGGGCTGGGGCGCAACCCCAGGGTCAGCAGGACGAGGCCCACAGGGTCTTGCTGGCTCCTCCCACCCCTGGGAGCCACACTCGAGCCCCAGGGCTTGGACTTTGCCAGGAGGAGGAAGCCACATTCCCTCCTCCTCGCTCCTGTCTCTCTGGGTCTCTATTTCTCTCTCACGGTTGTTCTACCCTGTCTCTGTTCCCAAAGGCTGGGGTGTGAAGGCCACACCTGGGAATGATTTCTCCGAAGACCAGAAGGGCCAAGGATGAGGTGTCCTGAGAGCCCCCGGACTAAGGGTGTGGCCTGCACAGCCTCCATTACTGGGCCAACGGGAAGGAAGTGAGGAGGGGGCCGGGGTCTCCATCAGCTCTATGCCCTTCCACTGAACCTCCTGTCCCTCCAGGGAAGAGGGTGCTGGCCCCACATTACAAATGAGAAAACCAAGGGCCAGCATGGCAAAGGGTCTGCCCGGAACAGTAACGGGGCAGTGTGGGCACTCACAGCCCCAGGACAGGGCCGGAGCTGGGGGTCAGGCAGAGAACAGGCCCCTCATGGGGGCTTCTGGGCCACTGCCATCACCCACAGTTCAGGCGGAGACATCAGGGCTTTGGG